CCTATGGGTTAAAAAGATACTTTGGCTAATCTGGTATTTAAATATAGGCAGGGACGGGTCGCGTCTAGTTACTGACAACCCAGTCTAACTAGAACTGTAGTTACTTGTAAAAATAACTGGGCCCAGGTTGCTAGGCCACATAGAGTTATATAGTCTGCCATCTCTCGAGGAACATAAGCATTCATGATCAACTAACTTACTCACTGCGACAGGAGATTGGACAGTAGTCTAAGATAATGTCATACTTTTGATATGATGTTCGTAAACTTCAGCGAAGCACTTGATAACGTTTCCCACTTTAGGCTTGTGCAGAGGATTTTGTGCCGTATAGCAATGAATAAGGAACTCCCTTTATGGCTAGAGACCGAGAGTAGGGGTAAATGCGACAGTGTCGGAGTGGAATCAAGCTAAAAGTCAAATAGCCCAAATGAACCATCTTAGGTTCACTAGATTTCTTCTGTTGAATTATGATATATTTCGTTATTTATAGCACAAACTCACCATATGCTTCTGAAGTATTATCACTGTCGTTTGGCGATAAAACTCGAAAATTTGAAATTAGGCAGGAAGTGGTCTGAAGAAAAGATATTACAGGATATCCTATAGTTCAAAAGAGATTGAAACGTTAGGTAGAGAATATGAAGAATTAGGTCCAGATAACCATTCAGTCAGTGCTTACGTTGCTATTCAATGTATATTTACGTCATTTACGGGTCATATTCACCACAACTTGATGTTTTAACAAGTTTATTTCGCTGAAGCGTGTAAATGCTATTACAGCTTGTTAGGGAACGATCATAACTAATAATTAATGTAGATGACCAGTTATTAGTATCGACTGCGCTAGTAAGCAGCGAGTAATAGTCAATATAACATTACGATAATGCATGTAAGCATTAATCAGAGGACTAATAGGATAATGCGTTAACATGAGTAAAAATCGGTCGATCGAGTGGAAATAAGGATTAATAAAAGGCTGCGTTTCTCTAGTCGAGTTCACCAATGTAGAATTATGGTCTACTTCGTTATTAGTAGTGCTAAAATAATAAGCCTAAGCTCAAAATTGTAGACTTGTTATGGTGCGACTACCAAAGTTGTGTGGTCTTACATGGAAGTCACACAAATGTTTACACTGACTCTTCGTACCACGGCAACCAGCAATGCGATGTTTAGCATTCAGGGAGAACACCTTTTGACTGAGGATAGAATAATGTGTTTGATGTGAATAAAAGCAAGTTATACAGAATGAGCGAGTCTGTGAGACTGAGCAAGTCTGTGAGACTGAGCAAGTCTTTGAGACAAAACAATGCCTAGCGAATGAATGAGTGTTCCCGAATTCACCACTGCTCGCTTTCTAACTCTGATAAATGCTGAATATACAGTTTCCCGTTTATTTTATGTTCAGCTTCGAAGATTGGGTAGATAAAACCAAAACCAATAAAAGCGCAGTTCGTTAATAAACCAAACACAATACATCCTCTTACCACATTGAAAGACAGATCAATAACAGTGAAAAAAGCTGAAACAGAAGGAAATATGAGAAAAAACTACATAACATAGCGGAGAAACTGACAAGGAAATGTGGTAAACTAGAGAGATAGGTCGGGGACAAATAAGGCAAGCCAATCACTGACATTCAAGAACAGAGCACCATATGGGTAGAATCCTTTGGGGAAATATTGAATAGGCCAGCTCCACTGAATCCAACAAACATCGAAGCAGCCCACACACCTTCCTATAAATATCATTCCACCAACGATAGAAGAAATCAGGATGGCCATCAGACAAACCAAGAGTGGGAATGCAGGTGGACCTGACAATATATCAGCTGAAGCTCTGAAGTCAGATATAGAAGTAACTGCAAGTATGCTTCACACTCTATTCAGGAAGATTTGAAAGGAAGAACAAGTGCCGACAGACTGGAAAGAGGGACACCTAATCAAGACACCAAAAAAGGAGATCTGAGCAAATGTGAGAACTACAGAGGCATCACACTACTATCGGTACCAGGAAAGGCATTCAACAGTGTTGCTGAATCAAATGAAAGATTCAGTATGCACATAGCTTCGAAATCAAAAGACCAGATTCCGTTAAGATCGGTTGTGCACAGACCAAATCGTGACACTACGGATCATTTTTTAACAACCAGTTGAGTGGAACTCGTCACTATGCATCAACTTCACTGACTATGAGAAGGGGTTTGGCAGTATGGATGGGAGAACATTATGAAAACTTCTTCGACACTATGGTGTGAAAATCATCAACATCATCCAAAATTCATACTACGGGCTACACTGCAAAGTCGTGCATCGACGACAGCTGACAGACGCATTGCAAGTGAAGACCAGTATAAAACAAGGCTGCTCACCTTCAATTTTTATCTCCCTTCTAGTGGTTGACTGGATTATGAAGAACTCCACCCCTGACAGGAAGCACGGAATACAATGGACAGCTTGTATGAAACTAGACAATCTGGATTCTTCAGATGACCTAGGCCTTCTACTCATGCACACCAACAAATGCAGGTGAAGACAGCCGGTGTATCGGGAGCCTCTGCATCAGTAGGCCTGAACAAACACAAGGGAAAAGTATGGTCCTTAAATACAGCACAGAAAACACCAACCGACCCAATCATAGTTGATGAGGAAGCCCTGGAAGAGGTGAAAACTCTCACGTACCTGGGCAGTATCATCGATGAACAAGAAGGATCCGATGCAGACGTAAAGGTAAGGATTGGCAAAACAATAGCAGTATTCTTGCAGTTGAAGAACATATGGAACTCAAAACAACTCTCAACCAATATCAAAGTCAGAATTTTCAATATGAACGTCAAACCTGTTTTACTGTATGGAGCTGAAACTTGGAGAACTACTACTACAACCATCATCATCAAAAGAGTACAAGCATTTCTAAAGAACTGTCTACGCAAAATACTCAATGTCCGTTGGCTGGATACCAACAGCAACAGCGTACTATGGGAGGGAAAAAACCCGCATACAGCTGAAGAATAAACTAGGAAAAGATGATAGAGGTGTATAGGACATACATTACAGAAATCAACTAACTGAATCACAGGGAATGTGGTAACTTTAAATCCTGAAGTTAGACGGAAAAGAGCAGACCAAAGAACACACTGTATCGAGAATTTGAAGCAGACATCAAAAGGATGAATAGTAACTGAACAGATTACCCAGGACGGAGTTGGATGGAGTATGCTGGTAGGCAGCCTATGCTCTTACATCAGGTGCAACAAGCGTTACTAATTAGGTGTTACTGGTTTTACGAGTGGTATGTTTAATACTTGTAGTTGGACGGTATAGACGGTGCTCCGATTTACAGTATAGATCAAAGTATTCCGTCTATGTTATTTGTGATATGTTGCCAATCCTTCTATGAACCGTGAACCTATTTTTAATGCGCTTCCATACTTCGTAACTGAGTTTTCCTCTATGAAAATTTGTTTTTACTTTGGAGTCTGATAGTACAGACATCGAAGAATGTAACGTTCACATTACAACTCTATGATCTTTAGTAAAAATTTCATGTCTGACGTTTATCCAACGTGGGTTTGAGTTGATTTCAAGTGATATATCATATAAGTTTTTTCCACTAGTCTGTTTTGGGACATATTGAACCCATTCTTGAAGTTTTATTGCTTCAACCCACTTGTTAAATCATTGCGATACTGAGGGCGGGTTCTGTCTGATATTTTTTAATTGAAACTCCCTCAATCGATCTTAGATATGTGTAATTATCAGGAAACCATTAAAAATGTGTTTGTTTATGCTTAGTCGAAGCCAGAGTCTCCATGAAGTAGTCATTATGAATATTTCACCAGTATATATTTCATAAATCCTCAATTAATAGTAATCCACTTAGAATAATATATGACATGAAGACATTTTAAGTTTTGTCACCTAAATGTTCAAACGAACAAAGTGCATTTTTTGTTCAAAGCAAGTGTCGAAAGAGAAAAAAATTATTGGATTTTGGTGGACCAAAATATATCAAACATAAATTATGCACACAAGAATATACAGGACGTCACTTAAATTGTCAGGAATTGGCATGTTCGAGTTTCCGTTGGTCTTGTAATCCGCAATTATAGATAGTTAGTATTTTCAACTATAATTACTATAACATGAGATTTATATCCAGATAAAGCATGTAATGAGGATATCACTGTGATCTGTAAACATAGAAAGCAAATATATAAGAGTTCTGTTATCATAACGGCAGATAGTTAGGAACAAGTAACATACGTGTGCAGCAGTATGTTTGTGAGCGATAATCACTGAGTCATGTTATGGAGTATTCAAATACGGAAAAGAAGGTCGAAGTTCATTTTCCCTAAGGACAATTTTACAGTCGATGATAGTAATTGTACAAATTCTTAGAATTAACGAAAGAAACACAAATAAGAGCAAGAACTGATCTTAAGAAAGGTCCATTTTACCTAGTTTCACGGGATTATGAATCAAAATAAGACGTTAACGATTTACGGTTACCGAGTAAAGCGAATTCTCGAACTTTAACAGCGTCAAATATGGAGGTTAGTATAACACATAGCCAAGAGTTCCATAAAGCAAGTGCATTTATCCCTGTTCATCACTTTTAAACTATTTTGATAAGAATTTTACCAAAAACGGACAAAATTTCCCCCAAAATAGAGAGATCGGGTTTACTTACCACTAGAGGTTAACGACTGGGTAGCCCTATACAAACCAATCGTGTCACTCTTACGAAGAATGATTTCATAGAAAGCAGTATATTTGGAGGCAAATATTTTGCTAGGGTCACTGTGGGTCAACATAAAAACTTCCCAATTCTAATTAGCGAATTCACGAGAGTAATTGTGGCTGATAAAGTATATTAACATCATAGGAGGCTGATGAATAGCTAAAAGTTTTTTGACAATAAGGAGACAGTACAATTAAGTCAAATGACTTGTGTTAACTTGTCAGACAGAAGTTTTATTTGTTTTGTTACTCCTGATTAGCGTACGTTGAGCGCGGGAGGGATTTCGGATGGGATCCCAATGAGGTATTACATTGCGTCAGGCGTCGTCTACCATTTCACAAGCCTGAGAAACCTCAATGTTTTAGAATATTGCAATAAGTTGTGGCCTTGTGTAAATCCTTAAGGATTATGTTAAGTTGGACGTATACGGGTGTAAATACAAGTATCGAGGGGGCAGGAGGTCAGAGTTGTATTAATTATATTACAACGAAAAGAAGGTTCTTCGAATCTGCATGTGTCTGCATAACATTCTTATACACTCTCTATTGGTCGTATTTAAAATTTAGTGTTGGAAATCCTCGTCATTCTAATGAACAAACGAAGCTCAGACAGATACTTCTTGTATTGCACACGTTTGTATTCGGGATTGAAATAGGCTTCAAGCTAGCCACTAGCACACTTATTTGGATATTAAATCCGTGTCACATTATAACCATACTACAGGTAATTCGCTTTGAGTTGCTTCATCTTTTTGTACTATTCATTTTTTCTATTTTTGCGAACGAGAAGATTTATCATGAAAAATCTGTTAAAAATCGTTCCAGCGTCAATAAAATGGATTATTATGAGTGTCCACTGCTTTGTTTATTGTCATTATTGTGTTTAGATTTCTCGGTACTATCCCTTGTTTACTCTCATTTTCTACGCGAGTTATTTGTCAAATGAAGTTGAATGATGCCATAATGATATGTATTTGTCCATCAAGAATATGGTTGATTCGTGCTCTGTTTAAGGTCGCTCACCAAACAAGCGACGTGGAACAATACGATAGTTGGGGCAACTTGGTCAAAAATGGGTTTGCGATGGGACGTATTATGACTATTTCTAGGTTACTGGTAACATTAAAGTATGCCTTCAGTAACTTAAGTATGATCAAATTACAAGGTTTTCAAAATATAGTTGTGCAAGATTGATGACTTAGTCGATTTATTTTATGAGGTTTCGAAGTCGAACATATACTTCTCTTGAGTTATCTGGACAGTCAGTCGTGAACGACATCGAATTTAGTATCTGCACCGCATCATTGCATTGCGGAACAAACTTCAGAGATAGAAGGTGAGACTACTCGAAAATTAGTCGTTCTAAGTAGAAATAGGGCGTTAGTTGTCACAGAGGTATGGCAACTTCGACCGATCCATATGTGCCTGGACCTACGTTGTAGCTGGCTGAGCTGTCACAGAGTAGGGGAAGATCGGAACAGTGCTAAGCACAGGATTGAAAAAAAAGAATAACTTCAATTATTAGGATTTCCGGTTTTACTAACCAGCATCTCCAACCTTAAATTACGGTTATCCTCTGGATTTCAACTTGAAACTCCGCACCTACTATCTTAGCTCAGTCTACCAGCCAATCATTTCATGAACTTATGTCGCACTTTGCTTTGACCTTCGGTTTTGTTCTTATTGACTTGAGCTTTAACCAGAATGATCAGTATTTAAAGCATTTTGATTTAGATTGTGTAGATCAAATCATCTAACGCAATGGTTGTTCATAAATTTCCAACTGTTAATAAGTTATTTTTCTGTTTTTCACACAAAATTTTATTATGCTGATTTCAGTTGTTACAATGTTTAGAAATTCGACTAGATACCTTTAAGCCGATTGTTTTTTACTATTCCGATTGTCTCCAGGTTTAATAAATGTAACATCCCTGCATTTTGCTACCTTCTAGATATTATTTTTGGCTTCATCGTCATCTTGGCTTACAACTTTTATTTTTCGAATCCACTTACATATGATGAATGGTCCTTTGTTAGCGTTAACTTTCCCAATATTAAACACTCGTTTCGTAAGTTCTTACTGACGTTCATGTTAATCCATTAGTTTTCTGTGTGGTTGCTTTTTTAGTTAAGGCTCCTTGGGTAAGCAGTAATACGTATGGCTTTCCTACCGTAAAAAGTGAAACAATACTAGTCACTTGAATCCCTGAGACCACATTTCCAGATAGTTTACAGTTTATTTTGTTTTGTTCTGACCTGCGTTATTTTGTTTGATAAGTTAGATGTGTTAATATTTGTGTTTAAAACACGAACATGGTGGAAAATACAGATCAATAAGCAGCCGATTAAATGAGTAATATCAACCTTAGATCAAGTGTGAGATCCTATTTACCGACTTCACTACGTTTTCTAATGACATCACAGTCTGATAGTTGCCACATATAGAAGTAATTTGAAGCAAAATGTATAGGTCGTCTATTGGGATATTCAACTCACTAAAGAACTCATGAGAATTTACTTGTTATCGCACTTTTTGTTCAGTAGCGAACCCCTAACCACAATTGCACCCGATTATGGATATATTTCCAAACGTTCAAAAAGCCCTATTAATGATTATGGTTATTATTATTTTACTATGTAGTATGGGAGCATCACATGACCTCCAGGGTTGATGTAGGTTTCCAGGTAAGCAACTTGATCTCTTGTTTAGAAGGCACCCAATGTACTGTTTAGCTCAATACAGTAATGCTTAACTCGTTGCGAATATAACTATCAGGATAAGTGGATTACTTTTTATTGAGTTTCTGTACTCACAATCGTCTTTAACTGAAATGTATATTAATCAGTAATTTTTCAATGAGTAAAAATAAATGTTTGTATTTAACTTAAAATCAGAAAGTGCAATTATTTACTTTCTAATTAGTTCCATCAAACCAGGAATTTAAGTTCACCGGTAAGAGAGTTCTTGAAGATCAGGAAGCTGAACTTACCACTCATTATACGTACTCATGAACTTGGCTTTTATGACGCCAATATTTGTGATAACCTCGGAATACGATTCAGTAAACTTGAATAACTACGTTAGTTTAGACAAAGAATCTTCAGTAACTTCAATATACCTTCTATATATTCTTTTCAGTGACATAGGCGCCGACAGAACATCTTTCAGCGGTTTCTAGAGCCTTATCAGAATCAGAAAAAATGTTTGAGATAGCTAAATAGTATATTTTAGAGGTTGGTAAAATGATAATTTAGTCAATCCACTGAAAGACTAGTAGTTAATTCGTCCTGTCGGGGATATTATGATTAGATATCTATTAATTCTAAGCTTTGGTTGAAACGTAATATGATGAACTTATGTTTAGTAAGTCACGGTTGAGTCTAATAATTGTTAATATAAGTTTGGTTGGTTATAATTAAAAAAGTATCTGGATATACTTCTGTAAGGTCCACCCGTACTTACACTCGTGTATCGAGTCTCAGTACATAAATAAACACATTTTGTTACTTTGAATAACCTTGTCAACTTTTGTTAAAATCACCTTTCATATCTCGATTCCATTTTTTTAATGTTTCACTGGACACCAATTGAAGCCGACATGTTCATTGTTCCTTTCCAAATCATTAATCGTTAGTTACACTTTTAACATCCGGAACTCATTTCAACTTAAGATTGCGAATCTCAAGGGACTGGTAATACAATTTCTAGAAACCTAGTTCTGATGTCTTTAGTGTAGTCAGGGATTATGACAATTTTAGATTAGGAAGTCTATTATACGTCATTATATGTGAAAACTATACTTGAAATAGTCTCAGCAATTGAAATTTAAATAATTCCAACGTTTCGTCCAGATACTTGTCTGGACTTCATGGTAAAAATCAAAATCATTAAAGAAATATATAGCGTTTTTAACAGTCAAATCCATACTGTGTTAATGCAATCATGTTTGGATCTTGACTTTTAGTAAATAGGATAACATGAGTCAGTTAAATGCGAAACATGTGAAAAGTTCATGATGTGAAAATAAATGACTGAACAAATTGTGCCTGTATGTATGTGTAAAATTGAGTTATTAATGACTGATATTCGATGTTTTTATATGAACGAAAAATAAAAGTACAAGCTGAAGGTTGAAAATTGTTCCTGAATCATTGAAGTGCCAGTAGGTGTAGTCATAACTGCTATACTTATAATATTTATGTTAAAGCCCAGCAATTTTCAGCGTCTCGAACACATATTTTAACATATCTTTTGAGTCACTAAACCACGTGTTCCGATGATTGGACTAAATTTACTGAGAAATTTGATGACTTGTGTATAACAAGAGTTCTAACGTAGTTGTTTACATTTTTTAAAGCTGCCATTCGAACATGTGACCTACTTCGTGCAACATATTCTGATTATTTTAATTCCTGCTAGCTTTTTGAATCAGAGTAGTAAGTCTTATTTTGTTAAAATTGCTAAAATGTATTGTGTCTATTTACCCAGTACAGCTTCGGTTAATTTGTATAAAGGTGCTTATTTCTTTAAAAAGGAATGCATTATATGCGGGTGAATGTTTCTGTATCATTTTTGTTTCGTCTACTTTTTTATTGTTTATTCTAGTTCATGTATGTATGTTTCAGTATCTATATTGTAGTGTGGCTTGTTGTATGAAGAGTAAACTGTGAAAATGGCTGGTTTGGCAACAAAATAAGAGAAGTTGATAATGAACTGAGCTTTTGTGGCTATTGCATAAACTTCCATAAATTGATTGTTGAAAACATGATGGGTACTAGTAAAAAGAACAATTTTCTCTCACTTTATCGTACCCTCTTATATGCATAGTTTTATTATGGCTGTTATTGTTGTTGTTACAACATAGATTAATGTAATCCATCCACTTTAACTTGGTTTTATCCGATTTTTTATATTGTGATATTCATTTGGACCTGTTTGCCAAATACACGTTTGTAATCAACTTTGAGGGACGCTTATCTCTAGTTTGTGACACTCACTATCCGGCTACCTAGGCTGATGTAGGGTTGAACATTATGCTTTCATTGGCTATTGTTATGAGTCATATTGGTGGACGCAAACTACCTAGTTGTGGTTTTTATGACAACCTCGGTCAGTGGTGTACGACATCGTGTAACATGGCTCAGAATCGGTCACAGCAGCACAGATGTAATAACCCTTTATCTACCTCTAGATCTTAAGTTTCAGTAGATTTTGACTTATCCCTTTAATTTTTTTTATTCGTGCCGTTTTCTTAACGTTTGGTTTTTCTGCTACATTTCACTTTGCTATTTTTTAAAATCCACCTCGCTGTGCTAACGTATCATGGCAACTCTGGCCAAAACATGTGTCAGGCTCTACATTGGCCATGACTAACTGGTTACATCTAATACAATGATTGTTTTGCAAAACTAGGTACTGAAGACAATTCGTAAACACAGTACAATTTTCCTTCTCAGTCACTAAAGTATTTCAAATATTCGTGGTAGATTTCAGTGTTAAAAGTTACAATTAAAATTAACTGGGTATTTAACATAAGATATTTTATTTCTTGCTTTTACAACAGGTGAATTTTCAGTTGAACCAATTGATGATTTTTCATGGGTGATATTTTCTTTAAGTATACAGGTTCTGTATCATTTCTTAGTCCTACAACCTATTGCTTTGGTAAGTTAGGTCCTATCCAATGATAAATAAAATTTGTATCAGGGTAAAATATTTTTTAGAATTTTATTTATTTGGACACAAATATTATTGCAAAGGGGCCCCAAATACATATGCACCATACAATAACAACGAGGCTATGGAGAGATAGAGCATGCATAGTGCGTATAAGAAAAAGGAGAATAACAGCGAACGGAAATTATTGTATAATAGTGAAATGATAATAGGAGAGGCAGTTCGGTTAGGAAAAATACACCCAGAAAGAATGCTTTGAGTTAAAAAGTTACGTTCACTTTTTATGAGGAAAGTTACAGCAGGATTGCCACTGACTTCCATTTTTAGCCATGTCTGATAACATCTCAAGCCACTGTGTTGCACTATCTCTAGGACCCCAACCAGGGAGTCATGAAGGACCAACAGAAGCCAACTATGTTCAGATTTCTTTCATAATTCTCTGGGATGACATTCGTAGAACATGTCCGAGCCACCGAAGTCAGTGTTTCAAGATGGTAACACCAACTGCATTATCGTCTCTGTGCCCGAACACACGATGCTGAACCTCTACATTACTAACATGGTGTTGCCACTGGATGTCAGCAATCCTTTGGAGACAACGATGATCAAACACAGAAAGTCGTCTAACATTCTCAACTCGGAGAGGCCAGGTTTTACAAGCATAGAGCAAAACTGCTCTCACTGACGCGTTGTAGATCCGACGTTTTACAGCCAGACTAACATAACGAAGGCGCCAAAGATGGCCTAGATTGGCATAAGCCGCTCTGGCTTTCACTATACGTGCATTGACTTCATCACTCACACCCCCACCAGCACTTATGCAGCTACTCAGATGCACGAACTTCTCGACTACGTCTATCTGCTCACCATCCAGGGTGAGTACAGGGTTAGAATCCTGCCAGTCTTGTAGAAATACTTTGCACTTCGAAGGTGCAAAGCACATACCATACCTACGGACATTGATTGCCAACTGATTAAGTGCAGATTGCATGCCTTGGGCATTATCGCACAGTAAGACAATATCGTCCGCATACTCAAGGTCGAGAAGTCTTTCTCCAGGCAACAGATCCACACCACCATTACTTACATTTATCAGAGCTGTTTCCAGAATGTCATCGATGGCAAAGTTGAAGAGGAATGGTGAGATTGGTCAACCCTGTCTAACCCCACTGCTCGAATGGAACAATAGAGAGAGGTGGTTGTATGCCTTCACTCTGCCTGAGGTGTTTGTATATAAGGCATTTAGGATGTTAATAAACTTCTCAGGCACACCCTTCTTCAATAGACAATCCCAGAGAACAGTCCTCTCCAACGAATCGAAGGCAGCCCTAAAGTCAAGAAACACTATGATTGTTGGCCTTTGATAAGTATGGCGGTGTTCTAACATTTGGCGGAGTGTGAAGATATGATCAATACATCCTCGACCAGAACGAAACCCAGCCTGCTCCTCGCGAGTCAATCTTTCTCGGGTATGTATGATGGAAGCTAATAGCTTGGACGCAATCGGAAGTAAACTTATCCCCCGATAGTTGTTACAGGAACGACGTGAACCACTTTTAAAGATAGGGACAACTATCGACTCATTCCATGACGGTCAAAAGTATATGAATTTGAAACATAAATCTTTAAGTAACCTTACTTTATTTTGTTACAGATAGTTGTAGTCTCTTTTGTTAACTAGTGGTTCTAATTGTCCAAACTTATAACATACCATTCTGTTTTCAATACATTTCTTTTATGTTAAATAGTTTTGATAATAACATGACTTCCGTATCTCTGCTTGATCAAATACACGATGATGTGTGGCTGATCAAACAAAAGTATTTGGAACTGGGTTATAAATTGCGATACATTAATTCTTCATAAATGATCTATGTTAATGAAATGTACTCCGTTATTGGTGATAAATTATTTTCTTTCATTGTCCATAATCATTAAACAGTGCAAATGTTTTTTAAATATTTGTGCATTAATTAATTGGATCTCCAAGTGATTAATTTATTGTCTTTTTTGCAGATGACAGGAATAAATCTTAACAATATTCTGTGCCCAGCTATAAGCGACCCATTCCCTGGCCCAAATTATCGTTTATGGGCAGTCTTTCACCAGTCTGTTATAATATTAGTACTGGGAAAGATTTTTACTTTGTTTTTGCTTCGATTAAATACACGAAAGGTGCCTTGGTTATGTCTGAATCCCAATAAACATGATCAGAAATCTGTTATAGAAAGAGTATTTGAATCTAGTTCATCAAATATATCAGGTGGCAAAATCACCTCATCTTGGTATTGGCCTGATCTATCCCGATATCACACATATCTTGACACTGATGCCAAAAACGATGAAGTTGTAAGCATATCCGATAATAAGGATTATTAGAAGCTGTCACCTGAATCGGTTATTATCTCTATGAACTCACCAAAAGTAAAGAATCTCCATATTTATTTTGTTATGCACTAAATACCTCGTTTTCTCTTTTTCCAGTTCTTTCTTGCACATGATGATTCCCCTTTTGATTATTAACTAAATATATATTCCATTTTTGCTATCACCGACTCAAATAAATATTTGTGATAACGAACTTATTTCTACTCAGAGTGTAAACCTGTGCAAATCATTCTAGCAATATATATCTTACCAATTGCCTTCATCGTTATTTTCCGTGGTTGTTATTGTACAGTTTTTTGTTTGCTTATTTTTTCATGTGCATGTTTACACTTCTACAGACATCTCGTGAATTATACGAGATCGTTTCAGGTAGTTACTCACCATCAGTTTTCCATATTTTCTCTTTTTTTAAAAAAAATATTTGGGTATTGTTTTATATTCTATGTAAAAAAAAGTGAACCAGGTAATAATTAATAAAAATACTTATCAGTTACTCGCAATTATCCATTCAGTGAATACTTATGTTTAAACTACCTATTGCTTCTTATGTATTGCCCACCTTTTTATAGTCAGCTTATTTCGGTTGTGTCTGCTCTATTTTCTACGAACTTGAGTTAATATTGAGTTGCATAAATTTGATTTCCTTTATTTTTGAAATATTTCAATACACTTTGTTTATTCTGTGTTTCTGTCTACGATATGTGTGATTTCTTTCCAAAACTTTTCTGTCTGTATGTGTAGTTTGCTAATTGCAGAAAACGCCGAAGCGCTTCCAGCTGCTTCATTTGTTTTTTTTTTCTAAGAAAATAATATACCCATTGATATTTATGTTAATTGTTCTGTTTAATAAATTTCGGTGTAAACTAATTCTAATAAACAGTGTATAAACATTATGTAGTATCGTTCTTGATTAACTGTGTGACTGCCATTGTTTCCTAGTTTGATCCTTTATGATAAATATTACATCTGATATTGAATATTTTTATAGTTTCATTGTTATATTTTATTCAATGCGACCTACAGTTTTCCTTAATGTACAATGACTTACTCAGAAGAACTAAAATACTTGTAACCATATTAGTATTTTAATAGTTGATTTTAATTCCATTCCAACCTTAAAATCTGTGTTCATAGTGAAAAAGAATATTTGTTTTTTCTATAAACAGGAATTATCGTAATACGACTTTTATTCATGTCGAACTCTGATTAGAACTTTGTCTTACAGGTTTCGATTTTCAAACCTAAGTCGTTCAGACAGGGGCTCAAAGCACTCGGCATCAGCTAATGTTTGGCTCAGTGCATAATATCCATCAGCTCTCATACGCAATAATTGCGGTCAAAGTCTTACACACAGGGTTGCTTAATACCTTCAGTCTGCTGCAAATAAAATCACCTAATGCTGAAAACAACCATGCTTACATAAGCTGATTAGACCGTAAATCAAATTAATGTTTAGGTGTATATGTGATTCTCCAATATGTATGAACATACTGTGCAAATTTTCCCCTATATTCTCACAAATCAGAGCAATAAATCAAGGGAACGTTTTTCTGTACCGAGTTATTAAACGAACAGATTGCAAGAAGTCACTTGCATATGACTATCAATGCCCATTAGTTCAATCTTTTCTCCCGCCAGCAGTGATAATTTCCAAACATAGTCACATGCGTCAACACTCTAAGTGCTTAAAACTCATTAGAACCGTTATTCATTATATCATTTCTAGAGTCCTAACATGACTACAGCTATTACGAAAAATTCTACTTACGCACAGTAGGATGACATGTTCTTTCCAGAAAAAATCACAATTTTGATACAAAACAGTACAGCGTAGTTTTCATAACTGATTTCTGCAGCTTATATTTATCCTGGGAGATAAATTCATTTTTTTAGCAATGGCTCCTCTGACTACTACTGTGGATCAGTACAAATTATCTTCTCTTCCAACTGATGGTGTTACTGCTGTTCGTTTCCAACCTGGGAAAGCAGCTCCACAATTCCTAGTCGCTTCAAGTTGGGACTGTACGGTGCGAATTTATGATGTGGCTTCAGGAAGTCAACGTTTGTTTTACCAACATAGTACTCCAGTTTTAGACACCGCTTTTTCTGATACTGTACACGTTGTCAGCGGTTCACTAGATGGAGAATTAAAATTGTTCGATTGCAACACTAATCAGAGTAAGTTTTGCACCATTGAGTAAAGAACCCATCTTATTATACTATCTTTTGATTTATCTTCTAGTATACAGGCAGGTCTTCGAGGTGCAACTTCACTTACTATCATCCCTTCTCTGGTTACATCAAAGGTATATGGATGTCTGATTTACAGATTTCGTTAAGTAAGAAAATGAATATGACAAATAAATCCTCTTCTGTATACAAAATGGTGACTATTTGGAAAGAGATTTGCTATACTTACATTTGATGGAACCAGAGATTGGAGATTTCTTTTTCACGATATCTGATGTGATTTCTAACCGATCTCGCTATCACTTGATATCGCACTATTAGCCTACACTGGAGACATTAAAAGCTGAACTTCTAGTTATAAGAAATTCAGACTATCTGAAGTTAGAAAAGCACTATACTATATACTAGTCAGTGTGGGAAGCTGATTGACTTAAGTACAGTAGTAAATGTCACTTCGTTATTGCAGTAGTGAAATCGTATTGCAAATGACAGTCGCAAACAGTAAAAACAGATCTTCGTAAGTAAATCTAAACACCCCTTAATTCCTTTGTTACTCATTCGATCTCAGTGCTCTCATTTCTGTTTATATAAATAGCTCCAAGCGATGATTATGGATAAAAGCTGACTGACTAAAAATGATTTCCAAACTATGCACTCGTTTGTCAAGTTTAAATATATTTATTTGACACCAGAATAAATTGATTTTCATTTATTGCGCCACTACGATATAAATTAAGCAGTTCAGTAAAGCAAAAGATATCATTGAGATGATCTCACTTCCAACTCTTGTACAATCATACAGTTTACATGAAATGATGTGATAACATATTTATTTGCTTGTTTGTTTCATGGATATTTAGGCATGAGTGAGGAAGTGAGTGAAATCTATGCAAACTTCTAAAACTACTAGTAAATAATGTGAACAAATAAATCGATTAGAAAATATAACAGTTATGGGAGACTAAAGGTCATAGACGTAAATAACTAAATACTGAAAAAATTATAGTATGAAACTTTAAAAGTAGACCAATGAGGGTCGTTTGAATTTAATTAAAGTCAATCAAAATGAAAACATTTTATCAGAATGGGGAGTTGTAGAAATTGTAGTAATTTTAATAATTGGATTCATGAGTTTATTTGAGCTAGACCACCATAAAAAACCTGGACGCACTGAACGGCAACGGATGACGGGTTGTGCAAGATCATGAACCGATTGAAGTTAGACATTAACACCATTGGATGCCGGCTCAGTAGTCTAAAGGTGAAATGTTCGCGCACGAGACTGGAGGGCTTGGGTTCGAACCCCGTGTGCGGGATTGTGGATACGCACTGCTGGGGAGAGTCCTACATTATGACGAAACGGCCATCCAATGCTTCCAGGTTTTCAATGGTCGTTTAGCTTGGATCGACTCGTGAATTCAACTATTAAATAACGTTTGTCAACATTACATTGTGGTACATCCAAAAATAAGATTTTCAAAATATTAATGATGAAAAATATAAGAACAAAAGTTATTACGGAAGGACCTAAAGCTTAAAATACCTACACAAAGTAATCGTGTAAACTATTTTTGTATATATCTCTGTAGACTTGGATTGTGCATACTTAACGCTTACATTACTTACTTACACCTGTTACCCCTCCTGGACGAGCATAGGTCGTCCACCAGCATTCTCCATCCAACTCTGTCCTGGGCAATCGTTTCCGGTTGCTATTTATCCCTTTAATATCTGCTTCCGATTCTCGACACAATGTGCTCTTTGGCCTTGCTCTTCCGTTTACCTTCAGGATTTTAAGTTAGCACTGTTGTGACTTGTGCCCTACTAATATATGACGTAATGATGCCGCCGATTAGATGCATTTACAAAGTGACCAGAAATATATAGTATGCCCAATTGTACAACATCAGAAACAGACCACAAATTGTCTACTTTGTTCAGGTGTTTTAGAGTCCCAGAGATTTTAGTGACTGACAATTGCTCACAATTCGTTGCAGAATCAATCAATTATTTTTTCAACATAAATGGAATAATACATCTACGTTCTCCGCCCTATCATCTTCGATCGAATAGAAAAGCAGAACGTTTTGTCGACACTTAAACGAGCATCGCTGAAAAGGGAGGCCAGGGGACAACTAGACAGGTAATTACAAAGTTTTTAATGGCCCACAGAACTACTCCGAACCCAGCCGTCCCAGATGGTAATTCTCCTGCTGAAGCCATGTTCGGAAGACGTATTCGAACTATTTTCAACGCCATTTTGCCAACCAAAATAGTGGATAGGCACAGACCAAATCTTAATATCCGAAGTTTTAACGTTGGCGACCAAGTGTTCGTTAAGTCCTACCTCTGGAAGAATCGAGGAGAATCCCAAAAACTCGTACAAAGATTGGGAAAAGTTTTGTACAAAGTCTGAAGAACGTTTCGCACATGTATCACACACACAAACCAAATCCTTAAAGATAAAAGAATGATGCATACTCGAGATAATCAGCTGAATCTTCCACTAGAGTTAATCTCAGGTACATTAACGACATATTCTCCCAAGAATACGGAAAAGAAGACTTGGACTATTAAGACAGCGAACAAAATGGAATGCCGTCGCAAACCAGTTGTCAGGCTACAAGTGGACCCAACGAATAAACCTTATTCCGAGGAGGTGTCTGGATGACTTCTGAGAACTACTATGGAGCCTTCAGTGGCCCTAAAGGAGCCGAAGAGTTTCCATCCAATCAGAACGTGATGGAGCTTTCCAGAATATCAACGTGGTATGCTAATTTTGGAGAGTAGCATAACATGCCTCTTTGCTGAAGTATAATGTTGATATAACAAACGCTAATATCTATAAATACCCATAATTTTCCGTACGTTTTGATACTCACCCAACAAGCACTTCTCCAGTCTTCTATCTTCTCATTCGCGACCACGGGGGTTCTATACGTTCGAGTGCTGTAGTTGTATACTGTATTCTGCGTTAATCAAGTAGCGAGCTTAATAAGGACTTTCCTCGTGATACAGTTAGTTGATTTATGTAATGTATGTCCTATACACCTCTATCATCTTTTCCTAGTTTATTCTTCAGCTGTATGCGGGTTTTTTCCCTCCCATAGTACGCTGTTGCTGTTGGTATCCAGCCAACGGACATTGAGTATTTTGCGTAGACAGTTCTTTAGAAATGCTTGTACTCTTTTGATGATGATGGTTGTAGTAGTAGTTCTCCAAGTTTCAGCTCCATACAGTAAAACAGGTTTGACGTTCATATTGAAAATTCTGACTTTGATATTGGTTGAGAGTTGTTTTGAGTTCCATATGTTCTTCAACTGCAAG